GAACAGAATTACGTTCATTTGAAAATTAGTAGTCCGCCTCGCTGGGCCAAGGGGAAGATTGTGCGCCCAAATGCAAACGCGACGCTACCACGTCCATTTCGAGTAACGCTCGAAAGTATACGCAAACACACACACAAATACCAAGTGTACAGTGCATAATAAGTGTTTGGAGGGGTCGTATCGATACTCGCTGAAAAGGAGGGGGGTCGTAAAATTTTCGAAATTGGTCCAACGTGACAGTTATCCTTGGAGACAAGTCCTCTAGGGCCCGTTTTGCGCAAAGAGTGCTTCCCTAGTAGCCTAGTGGCTGATCTGCGGTTGTCCACGCCCACCGGTTGGCTCTCCTTCCGTCGCTAGCCCCTATCAGCAGAGAAAGGAGGCAGAGCGTATACGTTCATGACGTCAACATGATTGGGACTCCTCAATCGGAGGAATGAGGCGGAAACAATGTCCCATTCTGCTGATTCAAAGACGTTTCCCCCTCAATTCCTTTTCCTTTCACTTCTTAGAAGCTCCACTTATTCCCAGCGGGCGACCATTTATCGTAACATTTGCTTCTGAATTCGAGTTTGTTCAAAAGATCCCAAATTAATGAAGAGCTCTTATTATCGCTTCATAATGTTGTCAAGTGTTCAAACTGTTGTCCATAGTTGAACGAAGAGTATCGCATTACTAATAGCGTTCGAGCGGTCAAGCACATTGAAATGGGCAAAAAAACAGCTCAAACGAAGGAAGAGCTCAGGGCAGAGCCGACCAAAAAGTACGAGACCGTAGCTCAAAAAAAGGAAGAAGTCCGAAAGTAAGACTGTTTTAATTGATGTCATATTAACGGATTTTTCCGTCTTTGGCTCTTATCAAGGATGTCGATAAATGATCCGCAAATGGCAGTAAATTCAAGGTCTGAGCAGAAAGGAGAAGCGCAAGAAGTGAAAGAAACCAGGAATCCAAAAAAAAACGCTCTACAACAAACACAAGGTCTGTTAACGAAGGCGGTCCTTATTGAACACTTCAGTCCATTTTTACGCTTTCACAGCCTTAGGTCATATTACTTTTCATATGGTACTAATTATGAATACGCCACCAAAGTTGAAGTAGCTGCACTGTTTATGGTAAAGGGGTGGGGGGGGGAGGGCAAAACATGAAAACAGGCTTTGGTTAAACTATTTGAGTTTCAAATACGACGGGCAACAACAAAATCTTGTTCAGTGTTTCGATGAATTCATTTGCAGAAGCATTGCTGAGAAAAAGGAGCTCAATTGCTGCTAATGTTGAACCGCTAGAAGCTAAGGAGATTCCAGAGAAGAAGCTCGGTAAGACGAAGGCAGAGCCGACCAAAAGTACGAGACCGTAGCTCAAAAAAAGAAAGAAGTTCAAATCGTAAGACTGTTTCAAATGATGTCATATTAACGGATTTTTCCGTCCTTGGCTCTTATCAAGGATGTCGATAAATGATCCGCAGATGGCAGTAAATTCAAGGTCTGAGCAGAAAGGAGAAGCGCAAGAAGTGAAAGACACAGGAATCCAAGGAAAAAAAACGCTCTACAACAAACACAAGGTATTGTTTAAACGGAGATTGTAAGCGGGGCGATCTTATTGTACACTTTCAGTTTCAATTCTACGCTAGTTCACCAACCTTAGGGTTCAATATTAACATACGTATATACTTTTCGCCCATCGCATAAACCTCGCCACTTCTGGAGACATTCAAAACTAGTTAATAACTCTGGCATTCAGCACTCTACTCAGACACCAAACTTTATAATACCTAGATACATTACATGGATACATGATAAAAGTTAAAACACGAGCGAAGCAACACTGCACATAGAACACCCAAAAAAGTACAGAATGCAATGAGATCAAAATTATTGATCGAGAAGCGATGACCGTGCGCCATCTACGTGTCGTAGGCCAGTGCGCGTGTTGACGCTTTTCGCGGAATCCGCACTGTCTGCAACGTCCGCAATGGCACAAAATAGGAAAGCAACCTTGGTTACGGGGCAGTGGTCAACCAACGCGTGAGAGTCCAGACAGAAAAGCACATACTTTCTGCTTCTTCTAGGACTAAGCCTTTTGAAGGAAGGAAAAAAGCAGAGATGCTGTAATAGTGTGCATGTGCGAGAGTGCCCAGAGGATACTACAAATTACAAAGACTCCCGGTTGACCACGGCCTTTGGACGAAAAATCTTGGGTGATTCCGCTTTCTAGATGGTACAAATTATGCCTACGTCAGCGAATTCGGGAACTGCACTAGTTATAGTGAAGGATGCAGAACACTAACAACTACGTTCAATTAAATTGACTAACTTCTTAAGTTTGAGATCACAACGATATTGATTTCACATTATATGTATTTATTGCAGAATCGGTCGTAAAAAGAGAGGGCACTGCTGTTGCTGGAAAGGAGGAGAGAAAGGACGATGAAAAAGACCAAATTATAGCTCAACCAAAGCTAGAAAATCAAAGGTGCGAGAATTTCCTGACCACTATTTCATCAATAGACTTACCTGATGAATGATATGATTTTCGTTCAGATTGGAGGAGCTCGCTCGGTATCGGAATTCAAAAGGCAAAATTGACCTATTTTTAGAGTTTAAACGGCGCAACCAAAAGGTTCCTGGGATAGGAGAAACGGCGAGGGAGAAACTCAGATCTATTGGATGCAATAACACGTCTGATCTGTTTGCAGTGTACTTCATGTCCGAAAGTGAAGAAGAATTCACGAAGTGGTTGAAGAAGATTGCTGACATTAAATGCCAACAATGCGAAACTGGCATACGATTGGTTCATTGGGGGGAACTATGACTAGAATTAGGCACAAGAACTCTGAGGTCGTATAACTTCGTAT